GTGCTTTTATTTATTCACTACTCATGCAGCATTAATCCGTATTTCATCAGGTACCTACAGTGCTGTAATTCTAGATGTGACCTTGGGACTTGATTTACTTCAGCTCCGTTTTCTTTATTAATGTGCCATGAAAGAGGTACATGAAAGATAGCCAACATCAAAGTACCTTTTAAAGTAAAATGGTTGATAGGAATTCCCGGGTATTTAACACTGTCTGTCAAATGTTTCAGCTGGTTTGCATCCTTTTACAAGCTATTGCTTGCTGCACTAAAAGAAATTTAAAGGAGTTGTTTCAAGTCTTTTGTGTGTTGGGGGAGGGGTGCTGATCACGTGGTGGTGACTGGGGTGGTGGTGGTTGGGTGGCAGTACTTAGCCAGAAAAGGGAGTAAACTGGGAGTTACACACTCATTTTCAACTATGCCCCTCCCAGAATGGTTTGTTTTGGTGTTTTTCTTTGGAATGGGGAGTCTTTAGTCCAAAGTGGCGCTTATAATTTGAGTTGAAGAGGCACTCACCTTGGATGTAAGGAGATTGAAGAGGGTGGCCAGAGAAAATTCATCAAACCTCAGTGAAAGAAAGAATAAAAGGCAGTATCTTATCCAGAGACAATTTAACCAGTTTATAACTTTACACCCTGTTTATTCTTTACTGAGCCATCTGAGAAAAAACTTTTAAACACAATAATGCAGGAAACTGAGTCGGAAGAAAAACAAAGGAAACAGGACTCAGACAAGGTCTACCATATGTATTGTGGAATATTTATTTTCCTGTAAATGCTATTGTCTCTGTTTTAGGCTAAGTATATGGGGGTAGAACTTCTCGTAGCTCATTCTTGAAACTCTGATTCCTTCTTTGTTTCAAACATTTGTTGGATGTTTCTCTCTACTTGAGAAAAAAAATATATAAAAGCATTTTGCTTTTTAGATGTAATCACAAGGATTATCTGTGGATCTCTTCCTATCATCTTTCTCATAGAACTATCTTAATCTAAACAATGAAAAATAGAAATCACAGATGTTTTAGAAAATGAAATTTACTTTAAAATTTATGCTTTGTTTTCAAATTACTTGATCTTAACTTGCAGAAGTCTTTTAAAATCATTGGAATAAAACACTTTATAATTAGTATTTGTGAAAATGTATTTGTATAGTATTAAAAAGCTTTAATATAGCATATACTCTGGATATTCTGTAATTTTTTTGTTGGCCTTTAACCTGCTTAACTTTTTATTCCTCCTATATGGAGGGAAAATAAATTTCAGCCCACACCTGATCTTGGGTAATCTATTGAACCTAAAGTCTTTTGCCTGTCAAGCGTAAGAAGCCACCAGTATAACTGACACGGAGGAGTTTGGTAATGGCCTTTCTCACTGTCAACATAGTGTACAGGGCTACAGAGGTCTCCTGAAGACAGATAGCTTAGTTTATGTGGGGAATGAGCAGTGTATGCAGCTTATTTGGCATTTGAGTCTATGATTAAGGAAGTGGGTGGAAGAGGTACATCTTGGCCCTTTAGCTGACATGGGAAATGCAGAACTTCTTGCTGCCCTTGTCTGCATCCTGTATGGCTCAGCCCTGGCAGTAGGAAGAGTGACCTTGGGTTGAGACAGGAGGATATATATTAGGAAATCGGTAGTAGAATGAAAGGCTGGAAGATGTTTACCTTTCCATTCATGCCACATTTTCTTCTGCCCCCATCATAGTTCACAGCATCTTTTTTTGCATAGAAGATACGTACCTTTAAGAATTTGCTATGCCTCATCACAGTCCGAGGGAATTGGGAGACAGAGAAGCATGGTACTGCCTAAAATGTCATCAGGGTCTTATTTCGCAAGCATTTAGCTTTCGTGAGACAGAGTATTGTCTTGTTCTTTGGTTGGCATACTGACACATGCCTTTTTATTTTTTTTTTAAGATTCTGGAGTTTAGTGTATCCTATCTAATTTAGGACCAGCGTAGTTAAAGCATCTGAAATAGCCTTAATGTTGTATAATTAATCATTAACAAACATATTAAATGTTAGTCTAAAGCTTGATTGAAAGGATCAACAGAGTCAAGGATCATAAGTATTTTTATCAGTTACTTAGTGACAAGCAATTTGTGAGCTTGTGAATCAGTCACCAGCTTACAGTTGATAGATATGTTTTCACCTGATTTTTATGTTTTCTTAGTTACCCCATTTACCTAAAATTCTCTTATTCTTCAAAGCATTTTATTTTTCCTCAAGAATGATTTTCATGAATCTAGGAATATAAGTGACGTGTGATAGACTACCCTCCCAGCTCCTAGCAGGTTTGAATTCAAATAGTTCCTACAGTTTAAATCATGACACTGTCATCATTTCCATTGTCATGTTCCACTTGTTATTTTAAGTTACACTCAGTAATATATTGGGGATGTCTCTGGCTCCAAATTCAGATGTTGGCATGGCCAAAATGCTAAAACTCTGAGGAGAGATATAGATGTGAAGAAGCTTCTGTAGTGTCTTCAGCCTATAAGAAATATTTTGAAGATGTACATTTCTATTCAAATCATATGCTCTGATTTGTAGGAGTCAGCGATTTCCTTCTCTTCCAGGTCCTAGGTTTATTTTGAATTAAAATTCACTGGTTATATAAGAGGAGCCCAAATACCTATTTTCTTTCTAATCTGAATTTCCTTATTGGAGGGCCTTTACCTCTCAAGTTCTTTAGGAAATTCTGTATCTTGTTCTAAACATGAAATGCTACTTTTAGGTTTTGACTTTGGTTGGAAAAGTAACAAGTAAAATTTCTACCAAGAAACTGGTCTTTTTTCTGTTTCAGCAAATTTTTGTTAGCTGTATAAAGATGGGAAGGATGTTAAAGACCCGTGCTTAAATTTTCAGGTTTGAGACTTGATGTTTTCCTGACTCATGGTTTTGGCAGGAGAGTCTGAAAAGTGGATAAAGGAAGCTGACCAGAGAATTTCCCAGTAATGAGCCTTTGAAGCATCTTAGATCTTTCAGGTTTGGTTTGCTTCTACTCTTCTTCATTTTCTTCTTGGCTTTTTGTTTTTTTCTCCTTCTGGCTACCTTTTCTTAGTGAGAAGTGACAAGTCTGTGTTAAGTGGGAAAATTTTAAATATACTCATCTTGTTGAATTTAATAACTGAGAGGAAAGTTTGACTCCAAAATTCAGTGTAAGCATATCATCCTTTACTTGTTTTTATGTAGAAGCAATATTTTTCAATTAATGTTTGGTCCAGCTTCTCTGGACCCCTTTTCAGTTTATATTCTCATGTTCCTCCCACTTCTTTTAAATACTCTAACTTCTGTTTCTGATCAGTCTTTTTTTCTGTGCATCCTTGCACCTCTTCTTTGCTCTTTGACTTAGTGCTCCAGTTATTTTCTTCATTCCCTTTTTCTTCTCTATAAATCCTCCTTTCCTTGATCATTTCTCCAGCCACTTCTGGGGCTTCATCTTTTCATCGGTGGTTTCTAAATGTAAGTCCTTAGTTTAAAAGTCTCTCCAGAGATTTGGACTCAAATTTCAGTGGCTAGTGGCCAGTCATTTGAGTATTGCTCTGGTGCCTCAGATTCAACCTCATGCTTTGGCTCCCAAAACTATTTTTCTTTGTGTGTTTTTGTTCTTTTCATAAGCCCCTACTTTGCTAGTGATTACCTTGGGCACAAAATTGACAAATTCAGCTGTATACTCCATTCAAACTACTTTCAAATCCTGTGGATTCTCCCTCAGGATTGGTTTTACTATTTCTTTCTTTCAGTGCCTCCTATTGCTATTCTTCTTCCTTTGAGAGTTTGGTTGTTTCATTAGCTACCCTCAAGCTACATTTCTAAGACAGTCTCCTGATATTCCCTTCTCAACCCAAGGCATGGTTTCATCATTCAAGCACTTGTCATCTGAGTCTGCATAGTTCTTTATGTTATGACTGGCTGATACCAATCATTAAGGAATTATATGTTCACCTTGGAGTTACAATTTATAAACCTGTATTTCATTTAATAAAAGCTAAAATAAATCCATTTTCAGTATTTTATTTTTCAAAGTATTTCATTTAAATCTTCCCCTGATCTGTTTCTATTATTTATAGTGAAATTGTGGTTCCTGTTTTCAGTGGATTCCACTTAAATGCCTTTTCTAATAATGGGTATGCTTTGATATCAGAAATTCTTATATTTGTAAATTGCAATATTTGTTCTTTGAATATGAGTGGGTTTCTTTTTCTACTTTTGCAGTTAAGAAAACAGTCTGTGGAGCCAGCCAGGTAGAAATGATAGCTTCCTCCCTTACTGCCACAGAGACTGTAGTTAAGTCACTGAATCTTTTGGTCTTTTTGTCTCTTAAGCAGGAATGGTAATATTATCTAACACAGGATTTGGTGAGGGTGAAACGAGGTGATACACCACAAAATACTTAGGATGGTGCTTGGCACATAATTTGGAATCAATAAATGTTGGTCTAAGGGTCCTTGGCTGTACAGTATGGCTACCCCTTTGGTCATACTACCATCTTACCTCACACCCCGCCCCTTTCAAACTAAACTTTGGCCTCTGTTAGCTCAGGGAAAAGAAGGACTTTAACACAGCAAAATAGGGACAAAAAGTTCATTTGGCCAGTTGTGTGGCCATTTAAGTTTACAAGGTTCTCTGCGAGTAAGCACAGTTTCGCTGTGCTCCATCCCCCACATCGTACATGGTTTTATTTCTTCAAATACAGTCAGCATACATCCACTATATTCTTCATGTGGTAACTCCACAACTGTGTGTATTTGCTGGTCCAGAAGCAGATTTTGTTACTTCTGCTCACTTAGACATTATGTGATTTTTTTAAAATTATATGTCCATTTTCCCTAGAATCTTAACTCTAGAAAATCTCGATGCCTGGATTTAAGGTGTTTTTCTTTCAGAGAGGATGGAATTTGCCTGTTAGAGCAGTGGCGCAGTCTTTTAAATGCTTTCATACATTAACTCATTTCATCTTTACAACAACCTTATAAGGTTGCTCTTTGTGTTTAAAAATATATATTAAAATGTGAGACACAGAAATGACAAAAGTAAAGAATGGAAATTTATATCCCAGGCAATTCCTAGTCAAAAGAAAGCATTTCCAGATGTCAAGGAAGGCCCGTCGAGCAGTGAGCAGTGCAGAGGTGCTGGCAGAGGCTCTGTGGCCCCGTTGGTACTTGTGTGCTGTTGCCGGTTCGAGTTAGGTCCATGCCTGCAGTAGTGTATCTGCTCAAGCTCTGAATCTGGTTTCACTGAAGTACATCTGGAAGAGATACCCCTCTAGCCCAGGATGCCCTGTGAGAAAGTGGGTTCACACCTCTTCACACAAACTGCCAAAGAGCAGTTTGCGTTTGGCATCTCTGATGACAGCCAGAAGATCTCCACATTTACCACCGGGACACAGCCAAATACCTACAGAGAAATAGAGAAGCAGCGAAGAAAGGGCTGGTTCCAGAAGTATACATAAAATTCTACCAGAAAGACACACAACCCAGTTCAAAAATTAGTAAAGGACTTGGATAGACGTTTCTCCAAAGAAGAGATACAAATAGCCAATAAGCACATGAAAAGAAGCTAGACACAGGATAAATAAATATTGCATGATTCCACTTATATGAGGTATTTAGAAGAGGCATTCTTCAAGACAAAAGGGGAATAAAGGGTAACAGGAGGAGGGGTGGGAGGAAAGGTGGTAGGGCAAATTACTGTCATTTAACGGCGGTAAAGTTTGGGTTGGATATGATGAAGTTCTGAATTTAGACACTAGTTTGTTTAACAACCTTGTGAATGTATTTAATGACACTGAGTTGTACACATATGAATCGTTAAATGATAAATAATATGTTGTTAATATGTTACCACAATAAAAGCAAAATTTAAAGCAGTGACGGTGATAAACAAATAAATAAAATGTAAGAGGGTAGAAACACTATAAAGCATGTCCCATAAGCACAATGGAATGAGATTAGAAATTAGAAAGAAAATTGGGAGATTCACAAATACGTGGAAATTGAATATTAAATAATTAACCCATAAATAATTAATCAAACAGGAAATCAAAAAGGAAGTGAGAAAATACATTGAATGGAAGTAAAGACAAAATACACCAATACAGCTATTGGATACAACTAAAGGAGTGCTAGGAGGAAAACTTATAACCGTAAATGCCTGTATTCAAAAAAGAAGTCTCAAAGCAAAAACTTAGCCTTCCACATATGACAATAAAGAAGAGCACACTAAACTTCAAACAGGCAGAAGAAAGGAAATCATAAAGAACAGAACATAAATGGATGGAATAGAGAAGAGAAAAACAGAGGAGAAATTTAATGAAATCAAAAGTTGTTTCTTAGAAAGTATCAACAACATGGACAAGTTGTTAACGAAACCCACCAAGAGACAAAGAGAAGGCTAAAATCATTAAAATCAGAAATGGAAAGAGGGTATCACTACTGACTTTACAAAAATAAAAATTACTATAAAGGAATAATGATATATAAAAAGATATAACAGGGGCGCCTGGGTGGCTTAGTCGGTTAAGCGTCTGACTTTCGCTTAGGTCATGATCTCGTGGTTCGTGGGTTCGAGCCCCGCATCGGGCTCTGTGCTGACTGCCAGCTCAGAGCCTGGAGCCTGTTTCAGTCTGTGACTCCCTCTCTCTCTGACCCTCCCCTGCTCACGCTGTCTCTCTCTCACCCAGAAATAAATAAAAATAAAAATTAAAAAAAAAAAGATATAACAAATATATGAACCTATAAAAATTATATACCAATAAATTAGATAACTTAGATGAAATGGGCAAGTTCCTGAAAAGACACAAACTACTAAACATGATTCAAGAAGAGAGAGATTCTCTGAATAGGCCTATAACATACAAACACAGGGAGTCAGTAAGAAAAAAAACTAACCACAAAGAAAAACCAGATCCAATTGGCTTTACCATTGAATTCTACCACACATTAAAACTAATTCCTCACTCTTCCAGAATACAGAAGGAGGAACACTTCTGAACTTTTTCTATGAGGCCAGTATTACCCTGATACCAAAACCAGACCAAGAAAACTATAGACCAGTACCAATTATGGATATAAATGTAAAAATTCTCAACAAAATACTAGCAAACCAAATCTAGCAACCTATAAAACAAGTAACACTTGATGACCAAATGAGACTTATACCAAGGATGTAAGGTTAGTTCCCAATCTAAAAATCTGAGAATGTAATAGATCATATCAAAGAATAAAAAACAAAATTCATATGATTACTTTAGTAGACACAGAAAAAGCATTTGACAGAATCCAGCATTTTTTCATTATAATAACACCAAGAAAACACATGAAGAGAACTTCCTCAACCAGGTAAGTAGCAGGTGAAGAAACTCATAGCTAACATCACAGTTAACGGTGAAAGACTGGATACTTTTCCCTAAGATCAGTAACAAGGAATCTATTCTGGCCACTTCTATTCAACATTTATTGGAGGTTCCAGCCAGGGCAGTTAGGCAAAAAATAAAATAAAAAGCATCCAGATGGGAAAAGAAGAAAGCTTTCTCTGTTCACAGAGGATATGATCTTATTTGTAAAAACTACTAAAATATATACCTAAAAAAACCTTGTTCAGCTAATTAAAATGTTCAGCAAGTTTGCAAGATTCGAGACCAATTACAACAATTCTATTTGTATACACTTGAAAAATCCAAAAATGAAGTAAGGAAATTCCATTTATAATAACATCCCTAAGAATAAAATACCTAGCAATAAGTTTAACAAAAGAAATATAAAACCTACTCTTAAAACTATAAAACACTGTTGAAAGAAATTTCAGATCTAAATTAATGGAAAGACATCACAAGTTCAAGGTTTAGAAGATGTTATTAAAATGGCAATAATCCCCAAACTGATATTCAGTGTGATCCCTGTCAGAGTCTCAGCTGACTTCTTTGTAGAAGTTGACAAACAATTCTAAAATTCATATGGAATTGCAAGGGATCCTGAATAGCCAAAACAACTTTGAAAAAGGACAGAGTGGAAGGCTCACATTTTCTGATTTCAAAACTTCAACCAATTGTGGTATGTGACACAAAGATAGACATATAAATCAATGGAATAGAGCTGAGAGTTCATAGATGAACCTTCACTTCTTTGATCAACTGATTTCACCAAGTGTGCCAAGATCATTCAATGAGGAAAGAATAGTCTTTTCAACAAATATTGGTGGCACAACTGGAAAGCCACATGCAAAAGAATGAAATTTGACTCTTAACAGCATATACCAAAATTAACTTAAAATGGATCAAAGACCTGAATGTAAAAGCTTAAAACTATAAAACTCTTAGGAGAAAGCATAGCAGTAAAGCTTCATGACCTTGAATTTGGCAAAGGATTCCTACATATAACCCCAAAAGCATGAGCAACAAAATAAAAACTAGGCAAATTGGATTTCATCAAAATAATCTCCTAGCATACTCAAGGAAGTTGGGAAGTATTGTGGATAATTACTTAAATATTCAGTAGATTCCTTGAAGAGTCTGTATTGCGTGGAAGAACCAGAAGAGGAGTTATAAGCGTCATAATGACTGTTGAGGGATTGTGCAGAGGTAGAGGAGTCACTGCTCTTTAGTAGATGAGATGTCTAGTGCTAAGTCCTAGGAGCATAGACTTCAGTCCTACAGTCTCGAGTTTGAACTTCATCTCTACTTCTTATTAGCTGCCTGGCTTTGGGCAAGTTTCTTCATCTCTCTGAGCTTCTGTTTTCTAATCAGCAAAATTAGAATAATCATACCTGCCTCTCAGGAATATGAAAACAATGAGATGTCGGCATTGTGCTGAATATAGTACGTAGCTCAAACTAGTGGTTACGAATTTGTGCTCTTAGGTCAGATCGTGTGTTGCTATTGTATGTCTGCCACTTCTAGTTGTATAAATATAAACTTTAGCAAATTACCTAACCTCTTTGTGCCTCAGTTGCCTCAGCTGATGAATGGGATAATAGCAGGGTTATCGTGACAATTAGAGAAAACTAACACATATTGGAGAACAACAGTGCCAGACCCTGTAAATGCTCAGTAGCTAATCATAAGTCCCGTTTCATTTGGACTTCATGTCTGATAGGATATCTCTTCATCTGCTCTTATTCCCAGATTCTCACTGACTGTGCTATTCTGGAGCTTAAAGTACTATTAGTTTCCAAATGTCTTAGTCATTTTGCTCAGCAGTATGTTTTCTCATAAGGTACAGAAATTCCTTTGAAAATGAAGGAGTGACATCCAGTGATAAAAGGACTGAATAAGGATATTTGGTAAAGAACATGGTCTGTCATAGCTGTTCATAATCTAAGACAGACTTGGAGTTTTGGGTTGAAACTGCTTTGAAAATTGTTAGTGCTGTAAAATTTGAAGGTATAAGGAAGTTGTTAATAATTTTAAAAGTGGTTTAAATGAGAATTGGAACACTTTGAAAAGCATTTCTTCCAGAGACACTGATGAAAATAGATATTTCCTCTGGAAACCCTGACTCAGACTGTTCATCGATTTCCATAATGATGGAGCCAGAAGGTTTCGGACAGTTCCAGCAACCCCCATTCCATTTTATTCTCTGAGAAGGGTCCAGAAGTGTGACATGCATTTGTTTTCATTTCAGTCACGGATTAGGTAAGCATGTAAGAAACTTGTTTTGCTGCCTAATTTGAGCTTGAAAACTAGCTAAACTAAGTCGCAGTCAAATTATTTGTGTTGGGATACATTTCTGAATGGTGTTTTTGCATTTTAGGGAATAAATGATGGCAATAAAATAATCTTTTTTCCCTTTTCTTTCATAGGTGAACTGCCACATAAATTTGATTTCTCACATTTGCTTTTTGTTGAGATTCATATCTGTTTACTGGTGGAGTTATACTTCTATCATTTAGTGCTCCTGATTACCCAGCACACTACCTCACCACTACTACTTCTTCGTGCTGATCCACTGTGGCAGTACATCACTGCTTTGTAGAATGTGATTTCATAACCTGGAAAGTACTCTCAGTAAGAATTTCACATGGTTTGTTTGCAAAAAGGTTACTTCAGTCAAAAAGCAGGAACCTTGCTTTCGAATGTTGACTTGAGGAGTCTTACCTAGAAAATATCTTTATAGTAAATCATTTTGTGTTCTGATAGGTATTTCTAACTTAAATCATGGTATCCTTCTCTTAGAGGTGAAAAAAAGTAGATTTTAGTAAGTTCTTTGCTTCAGACTTCTTTGTAATACTATCCCATGGGCTTCCTACTGCCTTCAAGCACCTTTGCACCGATCCAATCCATATTTATTTCTCACGGTAATCCCCTGGTTGTTAAGTATTCTTTGCATTTTACAGGTGAGGAAGCTGGACTGCAGGCTAATAGGGATTAAAGACTTAGAGGAATGGGGACTTAGGTCAGG